AAAAAAAAGAAAGAAAGAATACTTCCCCATTTTTTACTTGTTAAATCTGCTGTAAGGGATGTAACTCAGTGCCACTTTCTAAACACTGCGGACTTCTCCAGACTCTGAAAATTCCCCCACTAACTTGATGAGGGGGGAATTAGAGCTGGATTATAAATGTGAAGGAGGGGACAGGGGAGATTTCTCATCATGAAATCAAACTTTTAATTGATAGTCTATTCTCTCTATTGGCAAGGAACGGGAGAGAAGGGTGAACAAACACAAATACACTTTCTCTCTTAGCTCCCAGGTCTGTGCGTGTGTGAATGTGTGTGAATGTGTGTGATTGTGAGTGGGTGTGTGTTTTCTCCTGTGCTATTTTAAAAGCATTCTTCTAAGATAAGTAGAAATTTTAAAAACGATCAATAGGATCACTTTCCATTGACAGGTAACAGCTGTATATTTTATCAGAAATAATGTAGAAGTTGATGAAGTACAAGATGGGGTGCTTAAATAAAGTCAATTAGCATAGCTATAAGCTCAATGACCTATCCTTGTTTTTTTGTTTAGACCTCTGATATTTTTGTTTTGTTTTTTCCTTTGTTGTTGTTTTTTGTTTGTTTGTTTGTTTGTTTGTTTTTGAGACAGGGTTTCTTTGTAGCTCTGGAGCCTGTACTGGAACTCACTTTGTCAATCAGGCTGGCCTCAAACTCACAAAGATCCACCTGACGCTGCCTCCCAAGTGCTGAAATTAAAGGCGTGCACCACTGTTGCCCTTGATTAGACTTTTGAAATCTAGTGTTCTTTTGAAATGCCCAATGTATGGCCATTGGCTATAGCCATGTTTCAGGACAGACCCCCAAATTGACTTCACTGCTCTAACTGAAACAATGCGCCCCTTGGCCAACAGCACCTCTTTCCTCCCCTCCTTGTCCAGCCTCCAGAATTATGCTTCTACTCCAGACTTCTGGGAGATGAGTCTCTGAGGGATGCATGCCATGTGTTCTTTATTTTAGACTAAAAAATGTCATCTACTTCAACAATGGATGCCCCAACTGGAGAACCCTGGCATTCTATGGTAAAAGGCTGCAGTTTACCAAGAGTTTGTAAGAAGGCCAAAGAAAACATCTCTCAGAGAAGCCAAGGTCAACTTTTAAATTTCCATTTAATTCACCTTGTAAATCTGATTTCCCTACTAGCTGGAGGGTAGATAGATGACCCACCCCTTCTTCCATTTCTGACCTTCCTTTGATGGCTACGTCTTCAGATATTTGAATCATTGTATTCTTCTCTGATTTGTTTAATACTTAACAAAAAACACCAAAATAGTTATAGAAATTTTCACTGACTTCTACATAACATGTGTCTAATATTCATAAATTCACCAATAATACTTAAACCTGGATTGCAGGAGTATCTCAGGGAAAGGCAAACAGCCAAAACAGGAATTCCTGGTTTTTATTTATGCTCTACTGACATGCTTCCGAGCACCCAAGAATCTGGTATGGACTACTTCACTTCAAATCTGTAGTGAGGGGCTGCGGGCAGGCCTGCTTTTTGCCTCACCCGGCTCCCCACGGCTAGCTTAGTCCCAGAAATAACAACAAACAAATTGTATTCATTTAAGCACTGCCTGGCCCATTATCTCTAGAGAGTTAGTTACTGACTAACTCTCATATCTTGATATTAACCCATTTCTAATAATCTGGATAGCACCACGAGGTGGTGGCTTACCAGAAAAGATTCAGCATGTCTGACTTGGTGGCTGGCTCCATGGCGTCTGCCTCATTGCCCTCTTCCCAGCATTCTGTTCTGTTTACTCCGCCTACCTAATTTTCTGTCCTATCAAAGGGCCAAGGCAGTCTCTTTATTGACCAATGAAAATAACACAATAGACAGATAACCCTCCTCCATCACAAATCTTCACAGGTGGTTTCTTGTCCTATCTCTGAACTCCTGCAAGCCTCCCACCTCATTGCCCCATATGACACTCTGTCAATGGTATCCCTGCTATTGCGTCATTCATAAGTCAACCTTTCCCCACCAGTCATGGAAGACATTCCTCCTGTGTCTTTCCCTCTGAAAGTGCTCATGTGCTCATTCCCTCTTCCACACTGCCAAACTTGCTAAAGTGGGAAGCTCGACATGGAGCCACACTAGTGACCTTTTCCTCTCACTCCCCTTCCCATAACTATTTGAAGTCCTAGACCCCTGTACAAAGCTCACTAGAAATCCTCAGGGACTGTTTCTGCAATTGTGATAAAGAGGAATTGTATCAGTTAACCATGATTCCCAAATAGATCTTTAAAGCACATAGCCACAAGATCCACAGAACATTCCTGACTTCTGTAGAGGCTTGAGGAGTAGCCTCTAGAATCTGTCTCTCCTGAACCTCAGAATGTTAGCTAGTTTAGAGAAAGACTTGGCAGTTATGTTTAAGAAACTGACTGTGAGATCCTACTAGATTGAGTTGATACTGATCTAATGAATATCCTTGGGGAAACAGAAATGAATCTGAAGGTCCATGGGGAAGGCTTGGTGAAGAAAAAGACTGGGTTCTGGGTTATACTGCCACAAGCCAAGGTAGGAACACCACACACCTCCACTAGCCAGAATATTAAAGCTAGCTCCCCCACCCCTACCCCTACATCCTTGAAAGGAGCCTGGCCATCTTGACACTTTGAGTTTGGATTTTTGGCCACCCCCAGAACTATGACAGACTCATGGGTACTTTGTGGATGGAACGCATGGGAAGAAACTTGTCCAAAAGAGGCTCAAGTCTCTGCTTCCTCTCCCAAGAGGAAGCATGGCTCCACTTTTCTGGGAGTCATGATATCACGTGTCCCTATGAAAAGCAGAAGAAATGGTTTCCCCTGGCCTTCATTGAGGAGTTTTGTGATGAATTAATTCAGGAGAATGGGATTCTGCCATGAAAGCAACATCAAATAAATATTTCTTCCCCTCCTTTCCCTCAATTTATGGGAGAGAGAATCATGATAGTGGTAATAGCTATGTCCATAGAGACAGGGTCTTAGGTAGTCGAGCCTGGCCTCAGACTATGCACTCAGGGATGATCATGAACATTTGTCCTTCCGCCTTTACCGTCTGAGTGCTGGCATGTGGCACCATTCCCAGATCACATAGTGCTAGTCAGAGAAGCCAGGGCTGCATGCATGCTAAGCAAGCACCCTACCAACTTCACTACACCCCCAAGCGTCGTTACTTCAATAACAAGAAGGACCTCTTGCACATGCCAACTCTAAAGAATGGGGTTGTATTTGGGGATTGGTTCATCTAGAATTTATGGGACTGTTGTCCTGTAAATGTAATTTTCAGAAGTACAGATGTTGGCAATGTGAAGCCAAAGCCCTGTAGTTCTTTGTACCCCAAGCTTCATGTGTCAAACAGAGAGTACTTCTGATGTCTTTTTCTTGACACAGTGTCGCTTTCCAGTCAAAGTGGGGATGGATTACTTGGGAGGTTAAAAGAAAAAGAAGAAGAAGAAGGAGAAGAAGAAGAAGAAGAGGAAGAAGAAGAAGAAGAAGAAGAAGAAGAAGAAGAAGAAGAAGAAGAAGAAGAATTCAGCCCTGAAACAAGGCTGTGAGCAACTATCAGCAACCCAACATATTTCAAAGATCTATGACGTTGTCAGCTATAATTGAGGTTATAACTCCACATGTGGGGACCAAAAAGACCACCCAAATATGACAGGGAGATCAAACTAGGGAAATAGTGAAGGAAGCAGCCATTTATTCGGTGATCTTGTGTTTACTACAGGTCTGGGGATGGAAGGCAGCTGGACTTTATCGTTGCCCTCCCAAGGGGAGCCATGGAGAGATTGATGCCATAAACCCACAAAGCCAGAAGCTGTGAAGACCACCAGCTGCTCGCCAAGGTCACCATGTAACAGGATTGCAAAAGTCTTAGCAAGTTACCAGGAGAGCAGATAAAGGGTTAAGTTGGCTGTGGTTCTTGTATACCCTTGAATGGTCTTAAGGAAAAGCTTTGGATACACCAACTGTAATAAGGAGATATAAAATAATAACAATAATCTCCATTACAGCTTTTTGTAAAAGTTCATTGATGGCATACAAAAGAACTCTGAGACACAGGACAGACGAGGAGACTGAGTCCTTCCTTTGAGCTCCTATAACTGGGAACTTTGTCTCATTCCAGTTGCATCAAGATTCAAGCAGTCCTTCTCATTTCCACAGAAATGGAACATTGGCAATATCTCTTACAGACACCTGAATATTCAAAATGAGTGACCATATGAAGCTTCCTCTCTTTTGGTCTTGTGTAGTAGGAGAGAGAGCAGGCTTGTTTAGCCCCCGAAATAACCACATGGAAATTATATTAATTAAATTACTGCATAGCCCATTATATCTATCTTCTTCTTGGTCAACTCTCACATCTTGATCTAATCCATTTCTATTAATCTGTGTTTACCATGAAGTCGTGGCTTACTGGGAAAGATTCAGCATGTCTGAATGTCTGACTCTGGCAACTCCATGGCAGCTCTCTCTGCCTGCTTTCTTTCTCCCAGCATTCAGTTCTCTTTTCCCCGCCTATCTAAGTTCTGCCCTATCAAAAGGCCAAGGCGGTTTCTTTATTTAACCAATGAAAGCAACACATAGTCAGAAGGACCTCCTACACCAGTCTTGAGTGATATAGTTCTAGAGTATGAATAAAGGCTGGGGTACATATGTTATACACACACTTCAGCACTTCTGAATGCCAGTTTGCTATAGACCAAGAGAAGAGAGGAGAAATGATTTTTCAAAATGGCAAATGAGTAGGTACTAAGTCATCTGAGGGTCATAAAGCTAAAAGAATAGAATAAAGAAAGACAAGGTAAATGGTCAAGAAACTAATAAAAGATACCTAAAGTTGAGGGATGAATTAAGCTCTTGAATGAGAGGTTTAGACTTAAAGAAGATGGATTATCTAGGTGGGTTTCAGTTTCAAGTAACAGAGAAGTCAGCTCCAAATTGCTCAAGCAGTAGATTTATTGGCTCATATATTAGGAAGCTGAGACAGAGTGAGGGCGACAGCATTGTTGGATGCCAGGCTCAATACATTGACACGAGTCTCAGTTCTTTCACTCCTGGGTCAGTGTTAGCTCAGGACAAAGGTTTATTTCACTGCAGTCACAGGAGAGTCAAAGTGATGCTCATCACCATGGTGCTTTTTGTCCATATTTGGTGGGTGGGAGAGTCTGCCAGACGTGTAGGAATCAGCCTCCCTTGAAGTATTCAGGTTCTGGTAGATCTCTCATATCTGAAAGGAACCAGAATCTATTAAGAAGAAGTATGAACAGGCCCAGAATAAGCTATTGATCTTTTTACAACCCAGAGTATTAAAATGGAAAACTTGACAGATTTCAGAGTGTTCAACTCCTGCTTTCTTAAAGGTGGAGCAACGGTACACATTGAGCAACTGAATATGGAAATCGGATCTAGATCATTTCCTTAAATTTAAGGTTATACGTTTATTTTGTTGTTGTGGAACTTGTCTTAGCTACACCTCACAGTGCAGACACAGACCCTGCATGACCTCCAGAAACCTACTGTAAACTGAAAATCCCACACATGGAAAACGTGTTAATGACACATCTACTATCATGGCTCAACCCAACTTACGTCCTTGCCCCTAGAGCCATATGTTACCCTACAGCTGTGCCAAATCATCTAACACATACCTTCTTTTAAAATATTGGAGGATCTGCAGAATTTGCTGATGACGGAATACTGCAGTGTATGATATTTAGCCAGTTCGTCCTCCTATTGACTGAATAGCTGACCAGGAGCTGAGATGTGCTGCAAATGTTCAACGACCGCAATGCTTAAGCATCCCAAGGGTATTGCAGAGGACATCCTAGCCTGCGCAAGAAGAAAAATTCAAAGTTAGAAGTATCGAGTCTAGGATGCAGTCTGGTAGGAGAAAAGGAGCCTAGTATATGCAAGGGCTCAGACTTGGTCTCCAGCATTGAAAGAACGAAAAAGGGGACCGAGGGTCAACTGAATGGCTCCTGATTTGGCACCCCTGTAAAGTCAAAGCCTGGGGAGTCAGACCTTGTTATATCAAACACCATCTGCAAAGCAAAGCCTCCCCTCACACTCCCAAGCACAGGAAGGGGTTTCTAACCCTGAAGTGGTACTCAGAGCGCCAGTCCATGCGGCATGAAGTATATCCACTGCAGGGGGGCATCCTGACCCTTCTACCGCATTTTCATGATCTGCCAGGGCAATAGAATCACCTTGATAACTCGTTAAAAACACACAAAACACCACAGAAACTATGAGGCAAACATTGGCATCTATGTAGTTTTCAGTTGTAGAGCAGAATTTGGAGACTAGATAATCCAAGGCAGAGAGGGGAGGAAGCAGTCGTTCACTACAAATTTGTCTAGCTTGTTTCTTAAAAAACCATGTGTATTCACTATTCTCAACTCTTCCTTCTTTCTTTTTTCATTTTTTAACTACAGTCTTTCTTTTTATCTGTGTATGTGGATGCGCACGCAAGAGAGCAGTCTCACACATGGACACCCCATGATGCATGTGTGGAGGTCAGAGGATAACTGGGGAGAAGGCCAGTTGTCTCCTCTCACTCTGTGACTCCCGGGTATCAAGCAGAGGTCCTGGGGTCCAGCAGCAAGCACCTTTCCGCTGAGCATCTCCCAGCCATCCCTTTAATGAACCCCATGTGTCTGGAGCACAGCCAGGCCAAGAACCACTAATCTATAGTTTTCAAACTTCAACTGGACACTCCCAAGGCCAACAGTATTTAGACCAGTGTGGCTCTCAACCTATAGGTCATGACCCCTTTGGGAGGTCAACTGACCTTTTCTTAGGTGTCACATTATCAGATGTCCTGAACACCAGATATTTGCATTGCAATTCATAACAGTAGCAAAGTTACAGTTACAGAGTAGCAATGATAAAGATTTTATGGTTGGGGTCACCACAGTGTGAGGAACTGTATTAAAGGGTCACAGCGTTAGGAAAATGGAGAGCCACTGGTTTAGGTTCATTAAAAGTTGTGTGAAAGTCAGCAAGCTGTCCCCTGAATGAAAGCCCTGGGCCCAAACACCAGCTCCAACACCTGACTGAGACTCTGCAACTCCTCTTTCTGGTTTCTGTATTGACCATGGTCTCGGGTACACTGTATTTACCAAAACAAAAGGGTGTGCATGAGCGGAGTTTCCTTAGATTGGATTTTGTTTACTTTTTTTGGTACTGGAACTTGAACTCAAGGCCTCATACAGCTCAGCAGACATCCTTTCAGTGAGATACTCCCAGAGCCTCTACCAGTGTCTTGTTGATAAAAGGGTGAAGACTTCCATAGAAAATGCTCAGCTTCATTAGGAGCCAGAAGACAGCAAAAGACTTTGGAACTGGAGGCAGCTGCAGTCTGCTTGCCGTCCTCTGGTCCAGAGGTCTCAAGGACAGAGACCAGAGGGGGCCTGTGCTGTGTACCTTAATGCTTCAGTGAGGGTCTGGGGATAGACACTTCCAAAGACCTCTTTGAAGTTGTCAGAGGCCTCATTTCTCCTTGGCTTTAGAACTCTAAGAAACAGCAAGTTAAAGATCTCACAGAGTCGATGGGGAGAGATGAAAGTGTCTGCCGCTTGAACAGTAGACGCTGTTTTCAGGAGGGAATAGCCCAGCCTCTGTCTCTCTGAGCTGGCTGCGGTCTGAAAGAACCACAAAGGAAATTCAGGCCAGCCTAAATGACTGTTAAGTCATTGCACAAGAGTGAGCAGGGGCGTGCATCCGCATAGCAGCCTTGCTGTACTTCTTGGAGGATGCCTTTTCACCTGCACAGCACTCACCTGACAAGTCCATGTGTCATATGCATAGGGAAAGGTCCCCCTGCGGGCCCTGAGCAACTGTGATGGTACGGTAGATACTATTATGCGGTCCTTGCTTTTGACCACAGTTCCTGGTATATTTTCCCTTAGTAAGGCAAGCCATTCTGGCTAAATCTTCTCTTCTTGGGGCAGGGTATCAACACTTAAATCTTATCTCACCTTTCTACCTTTGGGTTCCCGCCTGGCTGCCGAGAAGATGGCCACAAATCTTCAATGATAAGACCTTTTATCTCAGAAGCGGGTCTTGGCCCATGCCCACAAGGAAGGAACGCCGCACAGAAGGCCTGCAGGAATCTGAGCTGTCCATTTAGGTCTGTTTGCACCAGACAAGATAACCATCTTGTCCAACTTCATTTCAGCCTGGTCATTTGTGCTTCAGTCACAGCCAAATCAAAGAGCTGAAGAACCTGTGAGGAGCTGAACTCTAGAATCAGCTTTGGTAGCGTGGGGTAGTCCTAAGGGAGAGAGACTATCTGCAACCCTGCATCCTGTCTTTCTCTTTCTAAGAATGTTCTGTGCTCTGTATAGTAAACCAGTAAATGTCTTTTGCTCCATGCTTTGAACTACTCTTTGAGGGAATGATGGGAACTCCCACGTCTGGCCAGTCAGATGTCCAGATAAAAACAACAGTGTTTGGTATCTCAAGGTAGGGGGGCAGTTTGGCAGATGGGGATCTGAGCCTGTCTCTGGGTATACTGTGCCAGAACTTAATTGCATTAGAGGACGCCCAGCAGGGGTCTGCAGGCCCAAAACAAACTCTTTGTGTAATGGTGGCAAGAAACCCTGCCACTCTAGGATATCACAGACCTGGTTTGTGAGCTGCATGAGCAGGGACACAGAGACACAAGGTAACTTAAACCGCTCAGTAGCAAATCACACCATGACAATTTCCTAGCAACACCTGTAGGGGAAGGATAGGGAGTATCCTTTCTTTTTCCTTGGTTTCCTGGCAACTACTGATTTTCTCTAAAATATGAGCAGCAGTTTGCCCAGGCCCAGGCTTCCCAACATGCCTTGCATGGGGTCTGCGTCGCCTCCTCCTGTCTCCAAACTACTTGGGCAAAACTTGTAGTCTCAATCTATCTGGTTATCAGAAAGTGTTCCGATGTTGTAGGAGCCTCAGCAAACAGGTTATTCCGTCACAGATCCCAGTGCAAGGCTTCTCAAGATGCTGGCGAGTTGCTGAGGAAACAGACCCGGTATCTACTTATTGGCACTTTCCGGTTGAGTAACACATTTAATCCCCTTTTCTGAAATCTACAACCTTTTGCATTATTTCAGGATGCAAAATCATTAGTATTCTTAATTTAAAGAGGAAGCCTTTAGACAACAGTCTGTGGCTATAAATCAATAATAAAGATTTACCCTGAATTATGATGTTTTTACCTGACTCTGAAATTGGACCTCTCCCCCATCTTTTGTCTTTGGGCTTTTAAATTTGACTTAATGTCTGACTCTGTCAGGTTCCTGTGGTGAATTGATAGACATTAGAAGAGACGGGGCCCATCGACTCAGAAGACCTATGCCATTAGTTAAGTCTTCCGTCTGTTTCTTCAAGTGGCCTGACACCCACTTAGTCACCTTGGCTTGGCACTTACCTGGGACACTAACACGGAAGAGAGCGGAACTCAGAATGGAGAGAGGAAGGTAAATAGGAATTTTCTGCTTTAAAAAAAAAAAAAAGCAGAGGTGAAAAAAAAATCAATATTTCCATTAGCATTTAAAAGTAGACTTTTCAAAGAACCTTTATTTGTTTAGCTGACAGGAATGTACCAAGAAAACCAGTTCCTTTAAGGACCACAAAATCCACGGCCGCCAGGATGGTAACACTCATCTTTCTCTTGGAGTGTGGCTTAGAAATCTCATCAATAGAATTCAAAGCTGAAAACAAACAAGCAAACAAATAAAAATTCACCTGGCAGAAATATACTCACATAAAGGGTACATTTTCTAAGAAAGAAAACATGTTAATAGCCCAGTGATAAATGTTAAAATTACTGGTAATATATCCAAATCAAAAGTTTGCTGTAACAGGCATAAATTTGAGCATCTCACACATATACACATATGTGATATGTGTGTATGTATAAACTATATATGTATATACGTATGTATGTGTGTATGTATATTTGTCTTTCTCTGTGTAGTCCCGGCTGCTCTGGAACTCACCTTGAGGACTAGCCTAGCCTCAGACTTGGAGATCTGCCTGTCTCTGCCTCCCGAGTGCTGGGGTTAAAGTTGTATGTGAGGGTTTATTTCATCGTATACCTTACATACCTTCCTCAAGGAAAGGGAAGGCAGGGACCTGGAACAAGAACTGAAGCAGAGACAGTGGAGGAAACTGCTGACTGTCTGCCTCTCAGACTTCTGATCCCTTTAGCTACTCTTCTCAACCCAAGCCAGGACCTCTCACAGTGGCCTAGGACATGTCCCATCAATTAGCAATCAAGTTTTTGCCCTACAGATGTGTTTACAGATCAGTCTCATAGAGGTAATTCCACAGTTGATCTTCTCCCCAGGGATGTCTAGGTTTATGTCAAATTGTCAAAACTAACTATGACATAAGGCCATTACTTTTCTGATGCACCTAGATGAGACGCCTGTATCTCACTTTTTATATTTATTTGTGATTATTTCGTGTGTATAAGAGTTCTGCCTTGAGCCAAGTGGTGGTGGCACATGCCGCCTTAAACCCCAGCACTCGGTAGGCAGAGGCAGGTGGGTCTCTGTGAGTTCAAAGCCAGCCTGGTCCATGGAGAGAGTTCCAGGACAGGCTCCAAAGGTACAGAGAAACCCTGTTTCCCAAAAAAAAAAAAAAAAACAATAAGTGTTCTGCCAGCACAAATGTGTGCATACCATATGCATGTTTGCCTGATGACCACAGAGGCCAGAAAAGGTCATTGGAACTGAAGTTGTGAGTGGTTGTGAGCCATCATTTGGTGCTAGGAACAAAACTAGGTCCTCTTGAGAGAACCAAGTGCTCTTAACCACTAAGCTATTTCTTCAGGTACTTTGTATTTTTGGTCTGTTTATTACCCTACGACAACCCCTCCCCCGCCCCCGCCCGGGCATGGTGACTTTAAGAAACAGAGTAACGTAACGCTCTCTTTTCTCCTATGCTCCAACAGTGTTGGCAGTAAGAAATGGTAAGTTTGGGATAAGAGCTTAGCACATACATGTTCACAGCACTGTCTCTACACATAGTATCTACCATCTCTTTACCTGGTTTTTCTGTGTTTGCAAGTTCTCCCGTCTTGGTACTTTGTCTCCTCCAATCCCTCAGAAGAATACCTCTGGGTACCGAAGACCACAGAAGAGGAATGTTGGCCTCAGTCACTGGGATGAGAGTGATTTGTCCCCTTTAGCTCAGTGTCGGGAGAGTGAGTACCTCTCCTGAAGCCACTCGGTCTGCTGGCATTTCCTACTCATGCCTATATAATCGCAGCAAAGCCCTGTGTGGCCCTTGCTAAGCATCTAGGGCTTGGGATTCCCCAGGATCTCTGCAGAGGAGCAGAGACAAACAAAGGTACGAAGCCTGCCAGCTTGGAGGCATTTATTCGGAACTTGATTCTGAGAGTCAAGAAAGGACTGCTGTAGAACACAAAGAAGGGCTAAGCTTGGGAGAAGGAAGGAAATTCAATTAAGAAGACGCAAGTGTTGCGCTTTATTGCCAATGCATCCCACAGTATGGAAAAACAAATTTTTGAAAGTTCAAAGGAATCGTGCGTGTTTGGTCCCAGGTCCAGTGAGTCTTTGTTTTGTTTTCCTAAAGAATCCAGATAGGCCCAGAAGGAAGAGAAAATTAAATTCTAACGTTACAATAAAAATTATTAGAGATGGAAGGAAAACTAAAGCAATCAATGGGGTTGCTTAGGGAACTCTCCTCTGAGCTCAGCCTTTTAAAGCATGCCTAGGAGCTCAGAGAACCTGCAGCCAAGAACAAAAGCAATTCAATAGCACTAGAACAGTGCTGTAGAGAAGAAAGTTCTGCTCACCAACATGGCTGCCTAAAAATAACCTGAGAGAGGCCGACACCAATAGATGCGCTCACGTGCAAAGAAGAAAGCTTATGAGGCTTCAGCCCTAGTCAAAGAATTCCAGGCAACTAAGGAGTCTTGAGAGTGGGAGCAATAGCCTTCCCCAGGGAATAACACAGGGACGGGTTATCCAATGCCAGATGCTCAGTCCTGGAAACATACATACAAGCCTCTTTACAGACTGAGCAGGTGGTTTATTGTGTATTTAGGAATACACATATACACACACAAACATACATGACACATGCACACAACAATAATTAAGAAAAAGAGGCCATGGATTTGAAAGAAAGCAAAGGGCAGGGCACGTGGGAGAGGTTGAAGGATGGAGAGGGACACTAAGAGGCATAGGGAACAAGCTGGAAAGCAGTATTGTTCCATGGCTTCTACTTCAGTTCCGACCTCTCGATTCCTGTCCTGGCTTCCCGCCTTCACTTCTTTTCATGGCGGCCTGTGACTGGGACCTGTAAGCTGAAATAAACCCTTTCCTCCCCACCCTTAAAAAGAATAAATGTAGTCGCTTTGCTTTGGCTTCATTTGGGGTTTTTGTTTATGTGTTTGGAACCTGAGTTCGGTTCCCAGCATCCAAGTCAGGTAGTTCCAGGGATCTGACACCTTCTTCTGATATCCTTCTTTGACTTCCTTACCTTTGTGGCAAATACACAAATGTACACATAAATATAAGCAAACTAGACCTTTAAAAAAAAAGTCAATTCTGCTGACAAAATGAAGATAAAAATGTTGAGTTTATTTTATCTTTCACCTTCGTGTTCAGGCTTAGAATAAAGAATCATTAGTATCATTTCTAAGACATCAAGATGAACTGTGATGACAAAAGAAAAATAGAAGGATTTACCTCTGATCTTGCTTCTGGCGAAGAGTGACCTTGGCCTGCAAAAGCAGAATCCTGGGAGGTGTGCTTGACCGCTGCTGGCAAATGCATCTTCTGGCTGTCAGGGGAATCCCAGTGCTTCTCCACAGGAGAATGCAGTGTGGCGGTGTGAAAGCTTACAGAAGTGGGAAACTGAGAGGCAGAAACAGCAACACACATGCAGGCAATGAAAGAATGGAGGGAAACCATGATACATGACAGAGAGATGGAAGAGAAGCGAGATTCTGAGAATTCTGATGGAGTTGACTCCAGGAACTTTGGATGTGCTGTCTGAGGTGAATCTTAAAAAGGAGGAGTTCAGAAGGAAAAAATCAGAAAGGGTGTGGAAAATTAAGAGCTCAAAGGAACCACACCCAACCAATGATAGAGACAGAAAGTTGGGTTGTCTCTTCCCCACTTTTGTTTGGTTTTAGTTTTGTATTGTGATTTTTTTTTTATTTTTTTTTTATTTTTTTTTGAGACAGGGTTTCTCTGTGCAGCTTTGGAGTCTGTCCTGGAACTTGCTCTGTAGAGCAGGCTGGCCTCGAACTCACAGAGATTCGCCAGCATCTTCCTCCTGAGTGCTGGGATTAAAGGCACGCGCCATCACTGCTCGGTACATTGTGATTTTTTTTTTTTTATTAGTCGTTCAGATTAATGGGTTTCATTGTGGCATTTCTCTCCATGTAGAGAGCATACTGCTCCCTTGCCCCCTGCCCCTGTTCTATGTTGCGAAGTGTTTAAGGTACTATGGCCTAACACCAGACCTGGCAGAATCATAAGACGTAACCAAGGAGTTAGCTGTGTATAAAGGGGCAACAGAGGAAAGGCTAAAAGTCTAGGCCTAAGGGACTTGCTTTCTATTCAAAAGTATATATTGAGGGCTCCACATCTGGTCAAGTTCTAGATTTTTTAAAATAAGGCTTTGCAATATCCCAAATTGGCCTAGTATTCACCATCACCCGCTTCAACCCCCAAGTACTGGGATTACAGGCAGCCATCACTATGCCCAGAGAGGTGGATTTTTTTTTTTTTTTTTGTAAGTAAAAGCCATTGGTGGGACGAAGACGTTACTCAGCTGGTAGAGTACTTGTCCGGACTTGCTTGAAATCCTAGGTTCCACCTCTAGCAACACCTAAATCAGGTGTGGGACACATCTGTATTCCCAGCATGTGGGAGGTATGAAGCAAGAGGATAAAGAGCCAAGGTCAGTACCAGCACCGGATGAAGCAAGTTCCGGGCTAGCCTGAGCTACACGAGCTCCTGCCTCCGACAACCCCTCCGTCGTGTAACTTCTCTTCATGTAGCTAAGTATGTACGTAGCAGCCTTCAGCCACTCAGGAGACAGCGTCAGGGAGATCTCTGAGAACATTAAGCCAGCCTGGTCTGCACAGTGAGCTCTAGGCCGAGCAAGGCTACATAGTGAGACTCTGTTTGAAAACAAAACCGGAAATAAACAAGCCACAAAGCCTGCCACATACGTATGGAAGCGATGTGGTGGTTAGCTTAATTGTCAACTTGACCCTTACTTAGGTCATCTGGAAGAGTGGACCTCAGTTGAGGAAGTGGCTGCCTCAGATTGGCCCAAAGCTAAAGTGGGGAATTTTCTTGAGAAATGATAGATGCGGAAGGACCCAGCTTACCGTGGGCAGTACCACCCAGGCAGGTGGTCCTGGAAGGTATAAGGAAACAGGCTGAGCAATAGGAACCAAGCTAGTAAGTAGCATTCCTCTATGGTCTCTGCTTTCGTTCATCCGTCCAGATTCCGAGCGGGAGCTCCTGCCCTGAGCTCCCACGATAACCCACTGTGATTGGGCTGCGTAAGCCATGGAAACAACTTCCTCCCCAAGCTGCCTTTGGGTGTGGCCTGTATCACAGCATTACCAAACAAACTAGCGGAGCAATACTGTAGGGGGACTATAGAGTACACCCGGAAGAGTTTGTGAATTTCTTTCAGCTTTGTGTAGTGATTAGCCAGTTGCTTAACTAGTTAGTTAACTAGTTAATCGACTAGGTAACAGTCAAACTCCAGCCAGGGCTATCCCTTTTTCCCTGTTAAAGGTAAAGAGCTGGCATCATTAATTATTCAACGGCGGGCTGTGAGCATGCCTATTGGAACTTATGATAAAGCGTTCGGGATAGACCGGAGGGAAAGAAGGCTCTCTCAAGGAAGTGACAGACGGCCTGAAAACTTGAAGATGAGTAGAATGTAGCCTGAAGCAACAGCACAGGCATTCCACGAGTTACGATTCATTCAGATCCAGCTGTCTCCCTTTAAGGAGATGTATTGCCAAACTGGAGTTCCGTGAGACGAGGAACCAGAGACAGCTAGCTAGGAGTTACTGGCCGAGGAGAAGAGCCGTTCCATCAGCCCTCTGCAGACTTACAGTAAGAATTCGTGCAGCAGTGAGGCAATCTCGCACAGCAGACAAACCTAAGAACCTGGATTGGATCCAGCACACAGAGAGGTGGAAGGCGAGAAATGACCCCATCAAGTTGTCCTTGGTCTTTCACATTCACACCATGGCGCACGCATGAGCGCACACGTACACACACACACACACACACACACACACACACACACAATGTATGAAATTAAATTTTAAATAAACATTTTCCCTAAGGGCTGGGGAAGCCTGATCCTGCCATGAATTGCAAAACTTCCATGGTCTAGCAGCATTTGTGAGTGGTGTGTTTTGTATAGATTGTTGGAAAGGTTAAGCAAATATGTTCAAGAAACAAAAATAGGGCTGGGGCATCGCTTACTTGGCACAAAGCTTGCTTAGCACGTGCAAAGCCCTGGGTTCAGTCCCTAGCACCGCATAAGCCAGAAATGGTGGCACAGACCTGTAATGCCTGCATTTAAGGGTGGTGGTAAGAGAATCAAAGGTTCAAGGTCAGGGGGTGGCAATATCTAAACAAGGCCTAGAACCTAGCACTCACTCAGTACAGGCCACCTTTTCTCATTAGCCAATGTGTAAAAGTTGTACTAAGACCAATAAGTATAAGTCATGGCATACCAAACTGTTTTTATAACTCAGCTTATTGAATGATACAACTTAAAAACACCCAAGGAGGTTTGGGAACAGCGCTAGAGTGCTTGCCTTGCACGCACAAGGCTCTGGGTTTGATTACCTAGTAGTGCAAACATAAAACGAAATTGAGAGAAAGAACGAAGCACCTGCCGTTTAGCCGGAGCTTAGAGGGTTGCCTAAGGTGACAGGCGGTTGTTTCCTGCCTTGGAAAGCTAATGCGTGGGGTGATCCAGCCTTCTGACTTGCAGACTCGGTAACCTCACATGGACTTCATTTCGACTAATAGATATGTTCCTACCAGTAAATTACTTATCAAATGTCCCGAGGAACACCTCTTGGCAGGAGAAAGTATCTGTTTTATAGATGCTCAGGGCCATCGGCCTTCAGTCACATCATAGTCAAATATTTAAATCTCTGCTGAGTCTAATTCCCAGGAAAGCTACCTGTTCAATTTATAAGGTCCAAACAGCCTTGAGTTTTCAAGAAGCCTTCGTTCTGAAGCATTTGATGAAAGAGTTTTAATTTACTATCAAAAGTGCACCAATCCTTTCTTAAACATTTGTCATTAGTCAGCTGACTGTACTTTAGTCAACTTCCAATAAGGAATGAGAATCTGTTAGAACTATAGCAGTTTCTCTGCTCCGTGTGTGTGTGTGTGTGTGTGTGTGTGTGTGTGTGTGTGTGTATGTGTGTGTATGTGTGTGTGTGTGTATGTGTGTGTGTGTATGTGTGTATGTGTGTGTGTATGTGTGTATGTGTGTGTATGTGTGTGTGTATGTGTGTGTGTATGTGTGTGTGTATGTGTGTGTGTGTATGTGTGTGTATGTGTGTGTATGTGTGTGTGTGTGTGTGTGTGTGTGTGTGTTATTGTTGCTGTGATTTGGGTTTGGGAGGGCTTGGAATTTGTTTTTCAGCTTTCAGAGGCTTTCTTCAAAATCCCTGCTGTCGATGAGAGGCCCTGATGGACTAACAAGTGATTCATCTGGGCTCTCAAACACAAAAGGAATCCACGGAGACCTTTACCGGAGTGTATTGGCCCATTTTGCTAAGAACGCAGCCAGGCTGATTTGCTCAACGGTGAAAGAGTAACAGCAACTACATTTACCACCAGAATGGTCAGTGCAATTAATGCAATTAAAGTAATTAGTCCTGGCAGCTGTAAGGTCAAACAGAGGTAGCTGTGTAACAGCAATCTGCCACTGCAAAATTACTGACATTTCCAACCGAATTATATTCTCTAAATGGTTGCCTTAATGATAAATAAATAAAGTTATGCTAATGTAGGGACTGATTACAGATTGAAATTAGCACAATTGCTTGTTATACAGTCTGCTAGGGTTAACATTTTTTAAAAAAAAAATAATTAATGGCCTTTCCTTGCTGTCTCTGGTTATAGATCCTGCAGCTCATTTGCATTCTTTTGCAATATGCTGACAGTGCTAAATGTCTAGGAAGGGTCTCATCTGCAGGCAGAGAAGGCGTTTCTCACGTCGTCGAGCTGAAACTCGCTATGGCCTTGAAGATGTGTCAATCACAAAAATGACCAGAAGGGAACTGGCTAAGAATGAGGCTAGAATCCACTTTTTCTTTTCTGTCTCATGATCCAAGCCTTTTCTGGAGTGAGTGTGAAATGTAATTGCTCTTTTGACTCCTCTCTCTCTCTCTCTCTCTCTCTCTCTCTCTCTCTCTCTCTCTCTCTGAGTCTGAGGAAGAGCTACTCTGGTTGATTATTGCAGGGATGAAAGGCACCCTGACCTTGTCGTCCCAACGCCTTGCTGCTTTCAGTGTTGCCCATTATTATACGGAGACCAGGCCACTCCTGGAGAGAGGCAGAATCTAGAGCGAGCTGCTCCCTGGGCAGCCTGCCAGGAAAGGCTTCAGCAGCAGCAGTTGAGACATTACCAAACAGCTCAGGCAGGGAAGGAAACAGCTTGGGGGAAGGAGAAGCCGAGTACATCAAAATATTGTTAGCACACACCTAAAGGGCTCTCGGTATGCTAAGACTGCCCTGCCTCAGGCCTGTCAGCTGAATTCTGACCTGGGAACATTAGCTGGGGAAGGGACTACGGAGTGTAAAGTACAGCCACTGATTTGTTGAGTAGCTATGGTTCTCAACCTTCCTAGGGCTGTGACCCTTTAATACATACAGTTCCTTGTGTTGTGGTGACCCCCAACCATAAAATTATTTCATTGTTACTTCGTGGCCGTAATTCTGCTACTGTTACGAATCTTAATGTAGGTATTTGATATGCAGGACATCTGATATGCGACCCCTGTGAAAATGTCAGGGTTCACAAGTTGGGGACCGCTGACTTAGATGGTGCGTATGCTGAAGCCCTTGTGGTAACAGTCCTATGCAAATCAGAACGTAGAGGGATTT